AATACACAGACATTCGTGCTGTATATTTATTAGCAGTCCTGCAGATGCAGTCCAGAGTTTAGCATGAACAATGTACCCCAGTATATAATTGCAGATTACACTGTATATTTCTTTTTCCCATTATTTTTTAGGGTGACTACAAGAAGCCGAAAACATGGCAGAAGAGGGGACGACTATAGACATTGATGGTAGCATCATGGAGGGAGTAAGTAATCCATATTGTTACTGGCAGCCCAATGAGAGCCATGCTGGGTACACACAGGTATGGTTTCAGATTTGATAGGTGTAATATGAGTTTCTACCTGATTGGATATCATCTGAATGGAGGCGCACATAGTGATCATTACACTATTAGTAGTAGCTAATAGTGATTGCGTTTAAAGCAACGCAATATGAAACTGTATGAACTCTGATAAGTATAGAGTCCAGCGTTAAGCTGGCCCATGCACCTATATGTTATCTGCAGATATTCTATAGATTTGTTTTCTATCAGCTTATGGTCAGATGGAAAAAGTGCAACAGATTCCTCTACGCTAAACTGTGTGGATGGAGGAATCTCCCACTGGGCCAAGCTTCAGTATCTGGCGTTGCCAATTGTATTTAGGTGATAAGGTATAGTGCTGTATTGATGAATCTCGTGTAGCGGTCTGTGAACTGAACAAGGAGGTGTCGGGGGAGAGGAGAACCTCTGTTTGGGTGGACACTCACAATTTTTAAATTCTTTCACATGTGACTGCATAGTAGATGCATGCAAACCCCCATAAACAATAACACAGTACTTCAAGCAAATATAACAAGATAAAAATAACAAGAAAATTATTAACCCATTTAAAGATAAATTAACAAAACCAGCTTATGCTGAAATATGCAGAATCATGCTAGAGATTTTCCCTTCTGTAGTTTTTTTTTTTTTTGCCACTAGATGTCCTCAGTCTGATGGCTAGCCTCATTCATACCACTTCCTCTCCTGGCCAGCATAATTTATACCACCTCCTCTCCTGGCCAGCATCATTCATGCCATTTCCTCTCCTACCACGTCCAGGTCACCCTGGACTGCTCCAGCTTGTGACTAGACTGTGAAACGAGATAAAGAACAGTTATGTGCTCATCTCTCAGTCACTCTGTGTTCTCCTATTAGCATTGTACTGCTTCTTCCTTTCACACTCAGCCCTGCTGTAGAGGGACTACAAGAGGCTAGTACCTGGTCAAATTTGGGTATTTACACATTTTGCATTAAAAAATACATTTAAAGGCATATTTATAAAGCAGTGAATCCAAATGTTCACGCAGATGGATCCATCACTGCTTTTAAAGCAACACCTTTGGTGAATGTGACATTCACTGCTTTATAAATATACAGTACCCCTTAATAATGACTGCAGTAACATATGACTTTTATATCTGCCTGGAGCTCTGTTTTAATCATACATTATTTCCGAATATCGGGCTATGGGGGTAAAGCCAAAACTTAGGTAAAACTTTGTTCGTTTCAGATAAAGTAGGATAAGATTAGCACCTTAAGTTTTTTTTTTTTATTGCTGACTTGGCCCCTGTTGGGGATATCTTCCATTACTTCCTGCCCTAGGGACCACACAGGACATGCCAAATGCTGGAAAAATGTTGACAACGTTTTTATTCTTTCACCATCCTACTATAAAATTGTATGCATTACTGTCTGGTTCACTGCCGGAAAGATTATCCTAGCTTGCTGCATCAGTGACCACTCTGTGGTCTTTTCCAACAAAGTCATAACACAAGTTGTAAACCTTTCCCACGCTATCAAGAACAGTTCTGCGTTCAGGGCCAATTCACACCAGCTAAACGCACAGTGGCTGATATCGGCACTGTATTTTCTTTTTTTTTAGAACTTTATTGAAATGCCACAAGTGACATTTCATTCCGTTCTACAGGCACAGCGGGGTGTGAGGTAGTTAGTTGTTCCACGTTGCATCCCGCTGTGCTGAAGAAAAGTATAGCAGCCATACTTTTTTTCAGCACAAACCACCACATTCCCATCTTAACGTGGTGGTGTGAAGTGAGCCCGTCCATGACAAGTCAAATTGCCTTGTCCTGTGTTGGGGTGGCACTGGAAACGGGCCAGCGCAGCTCCAATGCATGTGGTGTGAATTGGCCCTAAACCCATCTCTGGGGTAACATTAACCACCCCCATCCCCCTCCAACTGATTGCTGGCAGCAACAGAAATAGCCCACTTGAATGCCATTTTTATACTAAATACTGCGATCATGGGATCCTCCAGTGCCAAGTCTTCTCTCTCCCTTTGTTTACTTCTGATGAGGTCCTTCTTTAGGAGTCCATGTCACTGCCTGCATGACGTGATCACATTCTATTGGCTGGTCCTCTCCTTATCCAGAAGAGGAAAGATGTCATAACCAGGGGATGGTAGAAGGCCGGCTGGCTAGGGAGTATCTATTGTGCAGGATAAGTGGTTCCCCACACATGGAAACGTTGCCGGTGGGGGAACTGGAGGGGGATTTAGGTGAATATAACTTGCTTCTCCAGGTAAGGAAAAATTGGAACCCTGCAGGATGGGTAAGAGGGGGCTGAAAGAGAGGGATGGGAAGAGGGGTCATTTTTTGCCCCAAGTGAGAATTCAAAAAATATATGCACGGATTATGTAGTGTCTGTCAAATTCATTCTGTTATTCTGGAAATATAGGGAGGACAGATCCTGCGTATCTGCACTGCACTGAGCTGCCTTCTTGGATTACGAGTGAGGGTAATGAAGATCCGAGCAGGGAGAAGCACACCAGGCCTGAGGTGAGACCTTCTTTCTAGTTTATTCAGTATATGGAAGAGGATATGTTCACCTATCTCATAATGTCACGGGCCTGAAAAGGCTGTTGCTTCCATTGACTAGCTTTGCAGAGCCACCACTTGCTTTGGTCACCTCACTTTTGATAATCTTTAGCTTTGAAGGAAATTTATACTAAGGAAACTAAAACTGGCCATACACTGATTGAATTTCAGCCAAATTCTGTTGCATTAGTCAAAATTCGATCTGTGGGTGGCGCTGCCAGTACCACTCGGCTTAACAAAAAGGGATTTTTCAGTAGACTTTTGTTGATGGAGCTGAGTTTAAGATTTTTGGTTGGCCAGCTGCAGTCACTGTTCTGGTATTCTGATAGCCGTTGGATCTGCACGGCTGCACACTACAAAGATCTTCTATCCCCTTAGTTTGGATTAAATTAACCAGGAGAGAAGGATGAGGTGATTTACTCACTTCATCCTTTGTCCCGCCAGGCTGCTAGACCAGTCCTCGCAGGCTCTTCTCCCCTGGGCTACAGTGGTCTAGGGACCATTGACTTGCATTAGATGTAAGGACGCCAAGGGACATTGCACAGCCATAGTGGAGGGGGAGATAGTTGAGCGCTGACTGCCACAGGACCAATGATTAGGTGAGTAATACAGCTTTATTTGTGCCCCCTAGATAAAACAAGCACTTAACCCTTGCAATTCAGGAGTAGCCCCACTGCAAGGGTAAGTTTTTTTTAAATCCTTCTTTAAATACACATGCTGAGATCTCTGCTCTACAGTGCAATGCGATGATCAGTCTTCACTGTTCCTTCTATTTGAGCCTCAAATCTATGGTCAGAGCTATAATCTGATTTTGGCAAATTAAATTGAATAGGTTAATATGGGTGACTGTAAAAAAAAATTAATTCACATAAAAATATATTTTGTAAAGTGAACATAATAGTATTAACTAAAATGATACTTCACTAAAAGTCTGAGATTAAATACGTAATTTGGTAAGACATCTACGGATTTGTAAATGTGTGATCTGAGCAAAATTTACACCTTATTACTAAGTCTAACATTTGATGTCCTCTTTTTAGGCCACAACACTTATCTGGACTGGAGACCGTTCGGGATTTGTGTTCTGGGCAGTTGGAAAAAGCTGGGATTGGATCAACAGAGATAAACTTTGCACCTGGAAGGATAAAAGGAGGATCATTGACTGCTGATACGAAGACTGCTGGGTTAGTTAGCATTGAATAGGGGATGTCTGTCTAAATCAGGGATGGCCAAACTCCGGCCCTCCAGCTGTGGTGAAACTACAAATCCCATGAACCATCTCGCTCCGGGAGTCATGTCTGTGGCTGTGAGAATCTTGCAAAGCCTCATGGGATTCGTAGTTCCACCACAGCTGGAGGGCTGCAGTTTGGCCATGCCAGGTCTAAATGAATGCTTGTCTGCTGAATAGGTGTGATTAGTGTATTTAAAGTAGTATTAAACATTCAAACTTTTCTCAATAATAAATTCAAATTAAAAAAATAAACATTGTCCAGCAAAGTATATAAACTTCTTTTTTTTTTTCAAGCACTTACAATCATTGTTTCAGAACAGCAGCTCCAACTCTCTCAGCTCAGCTAAGGGAGTGTGCATCCCTAGCAGCCGTTCATTTACTAGCTTGGAGAAGGGACAAAGAAGGAGCAAGACGTGACTGGCCCTGCTGTGTTTGTGGAGACACATGCAGCTTACTAGCACACACAAGGGTGGCTCCATAGCACCCTGCAAGGAAAAGGAGACACCCTAAAAGAGGATATCGGGACCAGTGGTTTACAATGCTGTGTCTATGAAAGAGCAGCATTGTCTCCCCTCCTGATGGATCGAAATGCCTGTAGGTTAGAAGTGCATAATCATCACTCTGCTGCCCTAATGGGATGTCATATTGGCCTTATGGTTATTACTGAGTTTGCTGCCCTAATTGAGTGCCATATTTGTCTTATGAAGCTTTGTGTGCGCGCTGCCCCAGTGGAATGCCATAGTCACTTTAGGGATTACTATGTCTGCCTCCATAAAGAAATACTATATTTGCCTTATAATGATCCGTGAGTGTTCTACCCCAATGGAATGTAAATACTTATGTGTATATGTGGGTGTGCTGCACTAATGGAATTCCATCACTTACAGGGGTGTATGGGTCTAATACCCTAAAAGAATGCCATATTCGCCTTATGGGGATTACTGGGCCTTTCACCTTAATGGAATACCATATATCCCCTATGAGGATTTGTGTGAGTGCTGCCACCGTTTATGGGTATCTATGGGTCCCCTACCCTAATGGAATGTCACAGTCTCCTTATGGGAATCTATGGGTCAGCCTCTCTAATGGAATGCCACATTTACCTTATGAGTACCTGTGGGCCTCATGCCCCCCGGAATGCCATAGTCACTTTTGGGAATGCATGGCATCAATATGGTGGCACAGCTGTAAAAGTGTGCATGCTAGACCTGGGAGGTCAACCTTTGTATGTCAAACTCCCATTGTCGATCTGTTTATTCTGGGAGTAAAAAAGATAATGTTCTGTATAGAACATACGTCATATCAAAGAATAAGAATAATATGGTACTCCAGTCGTACAGTAGACTCACAAATTCCTTTAAGGTGACTTCAGCATTCTATTAGGGCAACAAACACATGGATCCCCATATGTTTAAAACTGGCATTTCATTGCTTTGAGAACCCTTTGTCATGTGTTGAATGTTAGCTTGTGAAGCAAAGATAGTGTGTGTGTGTGTGTGTGTGTGTGTGTGTGTGTGTGTGTGTGTATTTTTTCCAGGAAAGGCAAAGCGAGAAAGAGAAAATAACCAAAAATCTTGTTGAGTTTTTATTACCACTGGGGTGATTACCCTTCACTTACTGTATGGTCGTCAAGACAGAAATTAAGGTGAATTTTCCCAAAAACTGATAATGACGGCCTTAAATTCACTTTAAGAGAGGGGTGAGGGGTAAAGGCCTCTGTTCTGGTTATATTGGTTTTCACCCCCCAAGAAGTCCCCCATTAACTACATTCTGCCCTTTTCTGTCCCCTGTAGGAGTGTGTGCTTGCTGCTTCAGGTCTCACTCCCATGTGTCCTTTTCGCTGAGTCCCCCTCTGAGCTCATCTTCAAAGGCGGCACAAATGCGGAGATGGCACCACAGATTGACTATACCACAATGGTAAGTATGATTTATTAACCAAACCATATAAAATGTTGTTAATGAATCACAGAAAATATAATATATGGCCAGCATAGGGTATACAACAAGCATCTGTCTATTACCAAGCTTTTGATAGACCGCTAAGGATTTAAAAAGGGTTGTCTTTCTAAGGAAGCCTGCAGTGAAAGAACTATGGTGCCTGCTGTTGCTGACTTTCTTCTGAAAATGTTGGTTGCCTGACTGTCTCTGGATTCAATATTTTTGGAGTCAGTGAAACAAGCTTGCAGGTATTCCAGAGTGAAGTTAGCCGTGGATCAACACGGCAGAAAGGCAACTACCATTTTTAAGAGGTCAGCAATGCCAGGCCTTATACTATCTCAATATATACTGGGCAGTCATAATATTATGACCACTGACAGGTGAGGTGAATAGCATTGATTATCTCATCACAATGGCACCTGGAAGTGGGTGGCATATATTAAGCAGAAAGTGAACATTTTGTCCCTGAAGTTGATGGTTGGAAGCAGAAAATAAGGATGAACACGGATTTTAATGCCTTTGACAAGGACCAAATTGTGATGGGTAGACGAATGGGTCAGAGCAATTCCAAAACTGCAGCTCTTGTGGGATATTCTCAGTCTGCAGTGGTCAGGACTTACCAGAAGTAGTCCAAGGAAGGAAAACTGGCGAACCAGCAACAGGGTCATGGATTGCCAAGGCTCCTTGATGCACGTGGGCAGCAAAGGCTGACCCCGGTATTCCGATCCAATTGCTCCTGTATCTCAAATTGCTAAAAAAGGTAGTGCTGGTTCTGACAGAAAGGTGTCTGAACACACAGTGCATAAGAATTTGTTGCGTATAGGGCTGTGAAGCCGCAGATTGGTCAGGGTGCCCATGCTGACCTGTGTCAACCGTCACAATCACCTACAATGGGCTTGTGAGCATCAGAACTGCAATGGGGCAATGGAAGAAGATGGCCTGGTCTAATGAGTCACATTTTCTTTTACATCATGTGGATGGCCGGGTGTATGTGTGTTGCTTACCTGGTGAACAGATGGCACCAGGACACACTATGGGAAGAGGACAAACCGACAGAAGCAATGTAATCCTTGGGGCAATGTTATGCTGGGCCTTGTCATTCATGTGAATGTTACTTTGACACATACCACCTACCTAAACATTGTTGCTGACTTAGTACACCCCTTCATGGAAACGGTATTCCCTGATTCCCTGATGGCAGTGGCCTCTTTCAGCAGGATAATGTGCCCTGCCGCACTGCACAAATGGTTCAAGAATGGTTTCAGGAACACGACAACGAGTTGGAGGTTTTGACTTCGCCTCCAAATTCTCCAGATCTCAATCCATTCGAGCACCTGTGGGATGTGCTGGAAAATCAGGTCCAATCTATGTGCGCCCCGCCTCGCAGCTTACGGGCTTAAGGGATCTGCTAATGACTGGTCTCAGATACCACTGCATACTTCAGAGGCCTGTTTTGGGACCTACTCAATATTAGGCAGGTGATCATAATTTTGTGGCTGATCGTGGTAGGTTTCCTTTATGGCACCCAGGTATGCGCTAGTGCAACAAATAATTCAGCTGATTGGCTGCAGTGATTGTTTGGCCAACAGTTTTCTACCTGGCTCCTTCAACCAAAGTCAATTGAATATTCGACTTCTGTTGAGCCAGGTGATGCCCGAAGGGCCTCACAGGGCTCGAATTTTAGCCAAGTCAGCAGGCCAAACTCTGAGCTGTGTGAGGCCAGTGTAATGGATAAATACTTTGACTGTACAATATGGCTTATTCTGACTAATACTTATTGAATCTTTCTTAATCTGTGCTTACGTCAGGTGTTTAAACCTGCTGCAGAACGTTTTGGTTTTAAACTGGATTGTGACATCAGGAGAAGGTAAACCAAATACTGATAAAATATGCATTGTGTTTGTTTAATATAATGTGACTTGTTTTTTTTTTCCATACGCTATAATATTTTGAGGCTCCAAAAAACAGTGAAGATTCTCTTCAGTTATCCAATGTGCAGATTAAATAAATATACAGGGCTTTGCATTTTACGTTATTTAATAATTAAAATTAATCTTCACTCTGAGTTAACATTTTCAACTCCATCATGCCCAATTGTATTATAGTCTAAAATACTCAAATGTAGGATTGTTCTCTCTGTTCAAAGCCTGTTTAGGTGCATTTGGTTAACCACACAGAAATCTACGATGCAGATCAGTTATATTGATCTAATGGGATTTCCTTGTCTGAGTCTTCTCTATATACTGTATAGTTAATCACCAATGATATTTATATTGATCTGTTACCAAATGAAAACATCATATTGGCTGGCTTGGTGTCCTGAGTAGTTCTTTTCTGGTTCTGACACCTTTTATTTATTGCAGGGGTTACTACCCACGTGGAGGAGGCGAAATACTAGTCAGAGTTTCTCCTATAAAATATTTAAAGCCTATCAACCTAACTGATAAAGGTTCCATCACAAAGATCTATGGACGGGCCTATGTGGCTGGAGTCCTTCCATACAAGGTCAGTGTGTGCATTGTATAGTATCTGTGTAAATGTAGTGATGCTAGTCTTTGTCATTCTGTGATAGATTCACATTCCACCACAAAAGCAGGTGGCAAATGTGGACCCCTAACATTTTCAGCGGTATCACTTTGTCTGAGATTCTCTTTATATGCCTTTTTTAAAGCAGCTTTTCTCAACCAAGGCTCCATGGAACTCTAGGTTTCCTCCAGAGTTGGCTAGGGGTTATTTGAACAATGAGCAGTGGTGGACTGGTCTCCTGCCCATTGGTGCCTGCATAGTTACAGGACCAAGCTCACTTAGCTGAGCCATTGGCATGGGACCAGTAAATTTTTTCTCTCAACCTTTCGGGTAAGTAACGGATTCCAATTATGTTTTCATCTGTCCGTAAGGGGGCACTTCTGCTACTTTCTGTCAATCTAAGGGGGTTCTTCTCCCATTGACCACTAAGGTAGTGAGGCTCTTCTTCATTGACGACCAATGTTAAAGGACATTTACATACTGACCACCAATGTAGAATTTCCTTACAGACCAATAATATAAAAAAAATTACTGATCACACTAATGTAATGTAAGTTATGAGTTGTGAGATATAATTTAAATTGGGGTTCCCTAAGACCTGAAAATAATTTTAAGGGTTCCTCTACAGTGAAAAAATTGAGGAGGTCTGCTTTAGAGTATATAGCTTGCATTGGGAGTTAAGCATGCTGTTTAAAGTTGTCTATTGAGGACATTTTACATAAAGGAAAAAATGTCTTTGGTGTATTACCCACCTTTTCACCCTAATATGAGTTCCCTGTGTCCATGTTCAGGTCAGCAAACAGTTATCTATCTAATTTATTTATCTTATAACTAAGCCAAAACTCTTCTCACCAGACTACATAAATAAATGAATGAGAACAGCTCTTAGAAGAAAGTCTGACCGGGATCATTATGCCTGGAGACTGCTACATAGGTACGCACCTAATGGGAAAACACTCATGCCTCTGACAGAAAAATTATATACATCTGCAGCAACAATTAATCACACATGGTAGCATAATGCAGCAGTTGTGAGCAATTACCCACTGCCACATTCTAATGTATAGCTGTCATCATAGGGAGAAATATGTTTCATCACTAAGAAATCGATCTCTACTCTTAGCAATGTATTTATTGCAAGCAATTTTAGTAGCCCAACCCTTATGACTTTTTTGCTGACTTTTACCTTGAGGCTCCCATTTTTGAGACTACTCTTAAAGTATATTTCCACTTTTGCAGTCAAATTTGAGAAAACCCCTCTGTTTGTTATGCTTCTTCACACAGCACACCGAAAAATAATGTGTAAAAAAATATTTCTTGCCTTTTTTTAGATATTTTGTTGCAGCAGGCAACATGCCTGATTCCAGGTTTTTCTGAGCACCTTTTCAGTGATCTGTCCTTATAGAAAAGACTAGGGACTGAAATTTGAGGATTGTGGTTCTCTCGTTTAACTTCATTTACATTTGAATGCAGAAGCCAGGGTTGTAATCTTTTGACCCCCTCACAGCCCCTGCTAACATTATAAAGAAGGAAAAGCAAGTAGAAACTTTAACTCTTTGGAAGCCAAGAAGCTCTAACCCAGGGCTCAAAATTTCCACTCGCCCGCTCGCAATTTGCGAGTGAAAATTGCGTGGGTGCGAGTGGAAATGAAGCCATTGAGTCAGGCACTCAACTCTTGGAGGGATCCCAGATTGCTTATCCATATGCTGCTGCTCACAGCCGTGCACCTTCCCATATTAAAGATGGCCACATTTACTATGGTCCGTCCTTATTTCCTGCTGACAGCCTAACTTCCTGTCTGTGCGCCGATGATTATGAGAAATGTAGTTTGGGTTTTACTGAGCCGTGATAGCAGTGGGTGAGTAGAGTAGAGTGTGTCACGTAGAGGGTATTCAGTTAGGTTATATAGCTGCACTGTGCCCCGTGGTCTGTTCCAGACCGCTCCAAGGCTTGACAAAGAGGGTCACCCTCGAAACGCGTAGCCGCTAATTGCCAACTGATCTCACTTGAACACATCACCCCGGACTCACGAGCACTGACGAACACGCTCCAGCATTTACGCCGCACACCATACGGCTACACACCGCCCAGTGCCGATCACAGCAGCCTGACAGTCCTCCCCCTCCTGCTCTAATAGCCGCGGCTCGGCCCGGCCAGCCGAGGACGCAGCCTGGAGAGACTTGGGGTTTATTTAGATCTTATACCATTTAGATCCTGACCGTCCAGATCTTTCCATCCAGAAATACTTCGCTGACTGCACGGGACTGCAGGGAGTGCATGTCCATCCATGACATCACAACCGTGAGTTATTTATCAACCAATTTATTTAAACAGTTAGTCATTACAGGATGCTTAGCATCTAAACAATTTTTTAGGTGGTTGCGCTCTTCTATGTATAATTTTGCCAAACACGTTACACGGGGCTCCTCTCCCGGTTGTTGAAGAGCTTTTGCACACCATTTTCCATATAGTTAACAAGTGAGAAACCTGACCATATTACAGTTGTGCGCTTCCATGCATTTTTTGTTCAAACTGTTCCAGTGTTCTATCACTCCATCAGACCTGTAACTTAAATCCGATCCGATAAAGCCACTGGTCCGATGGAATGATAAAACATCGTAACTGTGCTGATGTCACAGTACAGGGGAAGCCCTGGGGTGGGCTGGCAGACCACAGGAGGGGTCCCATCAGCTTGCTGTGCCATAGGTCCCCTTCGTGCAGCCTGAGCTGCAATAACTATGCATTGGGACCTGGCTTAATCTCAAGTGTCAGGCCCCTGCCAGCAGGTAATTGAGTGGGACATAGAGATGGGTCGGGGTGCCGTGTGTGTGTTGTGGGTCTATGTGGAATGCCCCGTGTGTTGTGTGTATGTGTAATGCTCTGTGCGTTGTGCTGTGGTGCCAGTCTCCCCTGCTTTGCCCATTTCGTCTCATTTTACCAGCATTACCATGGTCAGCCTTTTATATTACAAATGTACACGTCCTTGGCTATAAAAACTATGCATAACATTTGTCCTAGGAATATCATCTTGATTTTTGATTATATTTTTTTATATTTGAAAAGAGTTTTCACTTAGAATTCAGCACCATTCTAATAGAGTTTCAATTAATTAATTGCATTTGATTTTCCATTAAAAATGTCTAATACCTCCACCATATTTCTTTAATCTCTCTGCAAGATGGTGAAGGACATGATTTCAGCAGCAGTACGTTGCATACGACGGGAGTTGAGGGAGCTGCATGTGAATATTCAAGGTGTCCAAGAGCCTGCAGACAAAGCAGTGGGAAATGGTAGCGGGATTATGTAAGTGTTGCTGGGGTCTATGTCTGGGGGCTGTTTAAGGACATTTGGGGGAACACTGGTGTCCATTTGGGACTGCATGAAAGATAGAGTCCTCTGTAACCACATAACGTGTTTTGACTTTTATGGATATAAGAAAGACTTGCTGCAGGATAAATTTCACATCTGTTCAAAGCCTTTTCTACTGGTTAATTGTGTATGATTTCCTTTATAGAATTGTTGCTGAGACTTCCACAGGTTGTATATTTGCAGGATCATCACTAGGGAAGAAAGGTAATACTGCTTTAATTGAATCATATAAGATATGGCTGGGATGAGAGACTCCCCATTGACAACACTAATGTGGCTCACACAAGTTAATATCCCGTTGTGTGGTTTAGATCCTGACCGTCCAGATCTTTCCATCCAGAAATACTTCGCTGACTGCACGGGACTGCAGGGAGTGCATGTCCATCCATGACATCACAACCGTGAGTTATTTATCAACCAATTTATTTAAACAGTTAGTCATTACAGGATGCTTAGCATCTAAACAATTTTTTAGGTGGTTGCGCTCTTCTATGTATAATTTTGCCAAACACGTTACACGGGGCTCCTCTCCCGGTTGTTGAAGAGCTTTTGCACACCATTTTCCATATAGTTAACAAGTGAGAAACCTGACCATATTACAGTTGTGCGCTTCCATGCATTTTTTGTTCAAACTGTTCCAGTGTTCTATCACTCCATCAGACCTGTAACTTAAATCCGATCCGATAAAGCCACTGGTCCGATGGAATGATAAAACATCGTAACTGTGCTGATGTCACAGTACAGGGGAAGCCCTGGGGTGGGCTGGCAGACCACAGGAGGGGTCCCATCAGCTTGCTGTGCCATAGGTCCCCTTCGTGCAGCCTGAGCTGCAATAACTATGCATTGGGACCTGGCTTAATCTCAAGTGTCAGGCCCCTGCCAGCAGGTAATTGAGTGGGACATAGAGATGGGTCGGGGTGCCGTGTGTGTGTTGTGGGTCTATGTGGAATGCCCCGTGTGTTGTGTGTATGTGTAATGCTCTGTGCGTTGTGCTGTGGTGCCAGTCTCCCCTGCTTTGCCCATTTCGTCTCATTTTACCAGCATTACCATGGTCAGCCTTTTATATTACAAATGTACACGTCCTTGGCTATAAAAACTATGCATAACATTTGTCCTAGGAATATCATCTTGATTTTTGATTATTTTTTTTTATATTTGAAAAGAGTTTTCACTTAGAATTCAGCACCATTCTAATAGAGTTTCAATTAATTAATTGCATTTGATTTTCCATTAAAAATGTCTAATACCTCCATCATATTTCTTTAATCTCTCTGCAAGATGGTGAAGGACATGATTTCAGCAGCAGTACGTTGCATACGACGGGAGTTGAGGGAGCTGCATGTGAATATTCAAGGTGTCCAAGAGCCTGCAGACAAAGCAGTGGGAAATGGTAGCGGGATTATGTAAGTGTTGCTGGGGTCTATGTCTGGGGGCTGTTTAAGGACATTTGGGGGAACACTGGTGTCCATTTGGGACTGCATGAAAGATAGAGTCCTCTGTAACCACATAACGTGTTTTGACTTTTATGGATATAAGAAAGACTTGCTGCAGGATAAATTTCACATCTGTTCAAAGCCTTTTCTACTGGTTAATTGTGTATGATTTCCTTTATAGAATTGTTGCTGAGACTTCCACAGGTTGTATATTTGCAGGATCATCACTAGGGAAGAAAGGTAATACTGCTTTAATTGAATCATATAAGATATGGCTGGTATAAGAGACTCCCCATTGACAACACTATTGTGGCTCACACAAGTTACTATCCGATTGTGTGATTTTCCTATTTTGATGATATTTTTTTTTTATTGTGAACCCAAAATCTATTTTCAATCATGTTTAGCATAAAGCCTTGCTCTATACAGTTTTCCTAGACAAATTTTTTTAGAATACGTTCCAAAGTTTCTTACCTGGAGATCTTGTTAATAACAGCACTTCCTATTGCATGCTGACAACGCTAAAGCTGCATCCAATCAGATTGTTCAGGTATTTTGAGGGCCAGGGAGGCCGACGAGCAAGATACTGAAGCTTGGCACAGTGGGAGATTCCTCCATCCACACAGTTTAGTGTAGATGGAGGAATCTGTTGCACTTTTTCCATCTGACCATAGAAAATCTGCAGGAAATCTATAGGTGTATGGCCAGCTTAAGCTGCTCGCTCTCAAATAGCAGAAGCATTGTCCATTTTCCGTGTGTGCTCCTTCAGTTGATCATTGCACTTCCTATCAGGTCTGCAGCTCAAATGTAATGATAACTCTGTCTTAATGATAGATACTATTCAGATGCTTTCCACTGCTGTGACCCAAACCTCTAATGCTGGAGTATACTTTGGGAACCATTTTGATGGGAAGGGACTTGTGCACTCTGCAAGTATTCATCTAGCCTTTTCCTAAGCACATTTCAGCATAAGCGCCATTACATAGTTATAGTTAGTAAGGTTGAAAAAATACATACAGCCCATAGAGGAAAACAAAAAAGTAGAAAAACCTCCATAAACAGAGCCCTGTGCCCACAGTTACCTACAGTTGATCCAGAGGATGGCAAAAAAAACCCTCTAAAGCATGGATCAATTTGCTCCAACAGTGAAAAAATTCCTTTCTGATCCCATAAGGGAATTGGATATACCCTGGAACAACAATCTCTGTTGTTTTTTACTTATAAAGTGTTAATATCTAGTTATATTATGTGCAGAATTAGCAGATAAATGTATCCATTGTTACTACAGACCATAGTAGCAATGGTTCTATTTACCTGACAATTCACTCCCGAATTCTCTAGAATTGTTACATTGTATCTCTTGGTACTAAGATGTATTTATTTTCTGTGATCCTCAGCTCATTCTCACAAAATCTGGCTAATTCACACAGATCAAATGTACATAGTCTCCTCTTCATGGAGCTTTATTATCATTCATTCAATAATAGGAAAATTCTTGTTTCATTTCTCCACTACTAGCTCATCGGCTGTTAGTGGCAGCAGCTCTACAACGGCTCCGGCCTAGCTCAGCGAAGCTGGCCCCTCTACAATCGGCACAAATAAAAACTCCAGTTTGTTTCTTTAGTGCTATGCTTGTGCTGTTTTGTGCCGCAAAAATTAACATTTGTGCTGCTTTTATTTTTAAGATAATAGCAATTGGTTTTTTTTAAGATGATGACATTGCCCAGCCCCCCCACAACAGCCAAAACACATGAAACCTGCTGGTTAGTTAGGCACTAACTAACCAGCCCATGTTGATGTCTTTTGGCTATTGTAGGGGGGCTGGGTGACCTTTTAATAGATAGTTAACTCACAAACGAAAGGAGATAGAATGGAGATTTAAACAGCCCAAACGAAGCACTAATTAACCAGCAAGTTTCATGTGTTTTGGCTGTTGTAGGGGGCCTGGGTGATGTCATCATCTTAAAACAATATTGCTATTATCTTAAAAATAAAAGCAGCACAAATGTTATTTTTTGTGGCACAAAACAGCACAAACGCAGCACTAAGGAAATACACTGGAGTTTTTATTTGTGCAGATTGTAAGGGGGCCAGCTTTGCTGAGCTCTCCATCCTCAGTGTTTTATTTTTTTTCTTTTACTAAGATTGTCATAGTATTCAGTGAAATAATATTGCAGCACAGCATTGTGTTAATTATGCAGAAAGTACTAGAAGAACATAATTAATTGGCATAGGTTAGTACCAGGAGACTGCAGCACACAATTTCCCAATTCAGTCCCATGGATCCTGCACTCCTGTAATTAAAAGAAAAAAAATGTAATGACAGAGCTGTGCTGTTTTATTACCATTACATTTTTAATGACTTGAATACACATCTCCGATCAAAAATTACATTGCCTGTGACTGCTGATGGGAAAATGTCTACACTACACTGCGGTGGCCTCTAACCAGTGGTTTAGAAGCCACATTTATTTTTGGCTATCTTTTTATGTTGCTTGTAATTCCTTCTAAGTATGTGCTCAGTACCTCTCTGTCCAAACCTTCCATGCTCACTACGAGTGACCTCCTATAGTGTTGTGGTATCGCTGGCTGGACTAGCAAGAGGCTGCTCCGTCCTAGCAAGAAAAATTAAGCAGCATTCAGGCCAAAGAGCAACGCCAATTCAGGAAAGTGATTGCTGTCCTTGGTGAATCGCCATTGTGACATCAGCCTTACTGTGACCTGCTTTCTCTTCTTTTACTGTATTATAATGAAAATACTGGGCACATTGTCTGTTATATTCATGTATGGGTAGATAAGAACTCTGTTTTAAGGCTGATATCAGACGAGCAATTCTGACACTCCTACTGCTGTTGAAGTTGTGCAATAATCACTTTGCTGAATACTTTTTTGGTAATACATTTTAAGGATTTCCACATGTTCACAGTGCAATATTATCTGTTCATTTACTTCCATCCTTGACTCTATTGTTCTGTGGACTTCAGGAGTAACTGCAGACCGTGTTGGGGCTGAAGCTGCAGAAATCCTTCTCCGTAACCTGCGTCATGGAGGCTGCGTTGATGAATATCTTCAGGACCAGGTATGATGTGAGGTTTTAAGAAAAACAACTTGAAGATCAGGGCTCTGACATTACCTGAATTCTGACACTTGCCAGATCATGGGGGTACATGTACTACTACTTATTAAATTCTGTGTGAGTAGAAATAAATTATAGAAGAATTTATACTGCACACATGATTCAGGTTGATTCTAATCTGAGTGTTCTTTAGATTTGCAAACCACTATGCAGTGCGGAGGTTTGCCTGATTGAATATATTGTAAATTGAATGGATTGTTTAGGTAGGCTCTTGCACTGAATAGTTGTTGGTAAATCTAAATATTTAAAAATGGCAGCTTAATTGTTAGATGCTTAGATCTCACTGTTTTGGGAGATGTCTGTACTGCCATATGTATTATCCTGCTCCAAACAAACTAGGTTATAGCAGAAGTACAACTGATGCCACCAATTTCAGAGAAATACTCCAGTCCCATGCTTTTACAGAAAAAGGGGGTTGTATAATTTTATATCGGTCACTGCAATATTGAATGTTCTTTTCTTTTCTCTGCAGCTGATTATTTTCATGGCTCTGGCAGATGGAGTATCTCAGCTTAGAACAGGTCCTCTTACCTTGCATACGCAAACAGCAATACACTTTGCAGAGCAATTAACAAAGGTAAGACCCGATCAAAACAAAGAGCAATGTGTAAGGTGCATTAATCCTTAGCAAACAACCAGCAATCATTTGTCCTTGTGAAGCTATGAAAGTTGAGATCCCTGACATGAGTAGGTCAGCAAGATATATCACTGATAATATTGTTCTATGGTGGGACCCTTTGGAGAAAAGCAGTTAATATAGAATCTATTAACGAGTTGCTAAAGAGATAAACCAAATAATCAACTATCATGTCAGCTGGACCCTCAGAAGTTAGAAGACGATCAGTACAGGGGCTTGGCTGCATACTGTCCAAGTACTTTTGTAGAAAGGAAGAGCTTGGTATTTAGCCTTTTCCAGTACAAGAGCTTGGGAACGTTAGTGGTTTTCCACTGAGATGCTATTTGCCTTACTGGCGTATAAAAAGACTTAGCCTGCATAATTTGTTTTTCCCTAATATCGCCCCTGTATTACTTCCTGAAGAACCCAGGATAATATTTTGTATCCCTTACTGAAGGATGGTCCATAAGTCACATAAGAAGCTGAGGTTATCAGGCTAGTACTTTTCACAGCCCTCTTCTTGGATCTCTAGAATAAACCATTTCAAGTTGAATGAGGATTTGATGTCTTCAGTAAAAGCAACAAAAGAAAAGTTCTGAAACACCTGACCGCACTGTTTATTTACTCCTAATAAACACTACGGCCTCTTGTGGGATGTTTAAAGTGTATTCAAACATTAACAATGTACTTGTCTCATATGCTTCTTTTTTGTCTGTTAAATACATCATAGAAAGTGTTTTGTTATACAGGTATCTGTTTAATAAATGCAAAAAATATTTGGTGACCCTGCTGGAAATCTAGTAAGCTTGTATCTTCCTGTGCACTGCTGTACTGAAATACTAACTAATGCTCTCAGTGCTGCCCAGTTCACCTATGTGAACTGCAGGCCACATCCCCCTATATTATGGTTATGAGGGCGAGGATGAGGCGTTCTGCAGTGCAAATCAGGAGTCAGCAGCCTTGAGTGACAATTCTGCTCCTCCATAGATACAGTAATGTAAATAAGCGTTGTCCTCCTAGGACAGGAAGTGTTATGGCAGAATCCCCAAGGGATAAACACAACTATTGCAGCCACTACTTTTAAGGACTGGTAAGCTGTAATAAATTATATTTTTATTCTTGGGTCTAGATATACTTTAACAACCAATACCCACTTCCTTTCAGCTTCCCGATAAACTCTCTCCGCCTTCTCCCTCTCTCTTGTTTAGTTATCGTTTTATAACACTGCCCCCCTACTTGTACTAGTCCTTTTCTGTATCCTTCCCCTCATTCAACCACCCATATAGCTTACCTTCCTAGATTGCATTAAAGGCCGTGATGTTTTCTTCAGGGAATAAGAGACAGCTCCCATTAATAATAAAGTATTCCATTTTTGTTATATACATATGTGGTGTAAGGTTCATAAAAAATCCTCTTTTTGGATATAGTGGAAGCATTCATTACTTTGAAGGAAACGTGAAGCATGGATGCAGCCAGATCTGTAAATATACTGTAATTAGCAAGTGTTCCTGTTTAGCACAGGGGTTTTCAGAGGATGGATATATCCATAGATTTGTATTTACCTATTTTGTGAATGGACTTGTTGGATGTAAGGTGGTATTTATAAAACCTGGAAGGCCTAGGTTGCAGGGCTCGGTAGAGTAGTGGTGGTAAACTCTCCTATGCTATTTGAGTTGTTGGTAAATGGGGGCATGTTTAAGAGACAGACAGAGATTGGGGGCATATTACACAACATTGCTGCTAGAGATAACTGATTTTCAGGTCAGTAAGGAAACGCACACTACTCTCTGCAGGGGTCCCGAGGGCCATGCACATGGTGCCAAAGGGCCTCATACAGCTCTAGGTCCACAGGTCGGACACCAGGGCTGGAAAAAAAGCACAAAAAGAGAGCACCTTTCCTTGTGCAGATACGTTTTATTCAAATAGAGGTATCAATGGTAAAAGGTACTCACAAACGTTAATAGGATAAAAGCCATGGAATGGTAGGTGAAAATCAGGCAAGTGGACATCAGCAAAGTGGTTCCTATGTGCACATGGCTTTTCTCCTATTCACGTTTGTGAGTACCTTTTACCATTGATTTCTCTATTTGAATAAAACTTATCCGCACCAGGAAAGTTGCCCTCTTTTTGTGCTTTTTTTCCAGACTCCACAGTCCCCCTGGCTGTAGTGGGGCAGCATCCTGCAGCATGCCCATCATTACATCCCTCTGAGGAGTGATTGCCCTCTGTGCTTTTTGCTTCTATTTGTTCTGGACACCAGGGCAGTAGAGGCTCTTCCTGTAATTTTAGTTCAGTTTTTATATTTTTTTCATGTTAGTTTATAACCATCAGTTTGATGCTTTTTGGTGTGCAGCCATGAGTGACTTTTTGGCGTGTTAGTCAAGAATATTGGCATAGCTTATATATAACATGTTTTCATGTCTTTTCTTCCCAACAGGCTAAGTTTACAGTGACAAAATGTGATGAGCCAAACACAGATAGCTGCATAATAGAATGTCAAGGAATCGGATTGCAGAACAAGAATGTTTCATAAAAGAGTTACAGCAAAAGAAAGGATTACATGTGAAGTCTCCACAGATTGCAGCATGGCATGCAATAAAGAAAGCATGGCACATGCGAGTAATGCATAGGACTTGCTGGTATTTTACAGCTTTCCATTTTGATTTCAGTCTGAGGTAATCAGAATTTTTTTGCGCATGAACTTGAGTTAAAAAATTTATATTTTATGAGGTGACATTCAATTGCCAATGCCCTACCTCAAATAAATAGAGGTAAACAAAATGATGTCAGGTTGTGATTTTATGGACTCCTTGATCTACTTGCAGTGACTCTTCTAAGATTGCTTTTCAGATTTGTACTCTGTCTATAAAGGCTCAGCTGAAGGCTCAGCTGAAGTGTATTAAAATGGAGTAATTAATCAAACAGATGACTAATCAAGTGTCTATATAACTGATCAGATACCTAAAATGCATTTCAATCAAACAGGGTGGCAAACGATATTTCAGCCTCCAAAATGATGTTTTATTAATTCCACAAATTACAACAGGAAAAAACAAAAGGGAGCCAACGCATTTGGGGGCTCAGCAGTCCCTCATCAGGGCCTTTAGATATCAGTGGAACTCAGAGCAAAGCTCCTGGAAAATGTGGTTTGAATCTTAGTGTGCTTCTTCCAGATCTTTGCAGTAAAACCAGTGACAGAACTGTAACAGGAAGAGGGAAGTCCTGTTAAGGAGCAACTTGCATGTGTTCCATTAAAAAAAAATTAAATGGACACCATAGTTAGGAAAAATGCAAGCTATTGGGATTCCTTAGATTCCTTTGTCAGGCTTTATACATGAAATGTACAAAAAGGTATCACTCGAACTCCAAGTTTTCTGCAATGGTCAATGGCTAACATTGTACAATACTCTACTTGTGCTAAGATGAAAACCATAGAAATGTACACTGATCTTTAAACAAATGTGATATCTGCTATTTACATATGGCTACCCTACTAAAAGATCACACCAACCTAAATTCTACAGTGAAAGTTCAGCCAAAGCTGATACAGCTTCTACTAGCTCATAGAGAATGTGGTGGAAATAATTTCCTTGAAAATCCCATCTGTGTGGCCTTTGTCCCTGTTCACACCTAGGCATTTTGTTGCTTAAAGGTAAGCGCGATGAAATGCTCAAGACGAGGATCCTATTAATTTCTATGGCACCTGTTCACACCTGAGCGTTTTGTAGCCGAATTTGTCACACTGACAGGGTTATTCACAAAAGGGTGAAGAGTTTGGAGGAGGGAGAAGAACTGAACAATCTAGGACAACATAGCTGAACTGGAAAGTGAGTTGCATTGGAGAATTTTTCCAAATCGGTTATTTTGTCCAAGATTGTGCATTCTCCTGCCTTCTCCAAACTCTTCACCCTTTTGTGAATAACCCTGTTAGTTTCCCATTAAAGTCTATGGGACCAAAAAGTAGCTCATGTACTTTTTCCAGAGACAGCTGGAGGAAACGCTCAAGTGAACAGGATCCTGAAAGGTTTAAATGCTTCGTTCACCTTTTTGTAAGCATTGCCAGTGTTTAGGACCGAACAGGTTATAAGGCTTAGTTCAGCTTTCGTACCAAGTTCCATATTCCACCCATATTTGGGATGGAACATGGTGCTATTCCACAGCCCCCACCCCCCTTACATGAAAACACACACACACACCTGAATCGCAGGGTTCTTCTACCTGCAGGCTTTTTATTTTTAAATTTGATGTGGCTATACATTGCTCTACTCACAGAGCCACGTCATTCATTCACAGATCTAATAACACGGCCCTTGAATAAAGAAACTACAAGTCCTGAGAGGGATCTGTAGTTCTCGATGGAGTCAATTTCTCTAGCTCCAAAACCACAGTTCTGTACTTTGGGGCTGTAGAAGCAGACTGCTGGAGCCTGTGCAATGTACCCATGATCCAATGTCCAGGATGACTTTACTTAAAGGGAAACTAATAATAGTGCTTGGTCAATTACATTTTATTTCTTAAATGTATTGATTTATTAGCTGATATTTATATCCTTCTTATAACCTTATAACCGCCCTCCTAAAACTCACTAATGACTGACAGTTAAACACAATGGCCACTATTCCATACTCTTGCTATTAGACCTTTCTGCTGCTTTTGACACTGTGGACCACCTGCTCCTCCTCAAAAAACTCCAGTCACTTGGTCTACAAGACTCTGCTCTTTCATGGTTCTCCTCTTACCTATCTAAGCGCTCCTTTAGTGTCACCTACAAATCTAACTCCTCCCCTCCTCTTCCGCTTTCTGTAGGGGTCCCTCAAGGCTCTGTCCTTGGACCCCTTCTCTTCTCTATTTGCATCTCCTCCCTTGGTCAGTTAATAACCTCACATGGCTTCCAATACCATCTTAATGCTGATGACACTCAAATCTATCTCTCTACTCAGCAACTCACCCCCTCTGTGTCCTTGCGTGTCACTAATCTATTAACTGACATATCAGTCTGGATGTCGCAACACTTCTTAAAACTCAACCTTTCAAAAAATGAGCTCATGATATTTCCTCCTGCCCGTGCCCCTTTCACCAACTTTTCCCTTGAGATTGTTAACACAACTATCCAGCCCTCCCCCCATGCCAAGGTCCTAGGTGTCATCCTTGACTCAGACCTCACCTTTCTTCCCCACATCCCATCACTATCCAAATCCTGCTGCCTTCACCTTCGTAACATCTCCAAAATACGCCCCTTCCTCACCAAAGAAACCGCAAAATTACTCACCCACTCCCTTGTAATCTCTCGTCTGGACTATTGCAACTCCCTCCTCATTGGCCTTCCACCACACAGGATATCCCCCCTTCAGTCTATCATGAATGCAGCTGCTAGACTCACCCACCTAACCAACCGCTCAGTGTCTGCAACACCCCTCTGTCAATCCCTGCACTGGCTTCCACTCACCCAAAGGATCAAATTCAAAATATTAACAACAGCTTACAAAGCCATCCACAACTCTGGCCCCGGCTATATCTCAAACCTGGTCTCAAAGTATCACCCTAACCGTCCCCTCCGCTCCTCCCAAGACCTCCTGATTTCCAGCTCCCTCATCAACTCCTCCCATGCTCGCCTCCAGGACTTCACTAGAGTGTCTCCCATTCTATGGAACTCTCTACCCAAACCTGTCTGTCATCTCTTCAGGGAAGCCTATCCCACCTCAACCTAACCACTGAACAATCACTTTCTCAAACAATCATCCCCGCACAGCTGCCTCCTCATGCATCACTTGCCCCTCCCTTTTAGATTGTCCATCTTGTCTTGAATTGTATTGTGATTGTAATGTCTTCCTTATATTGTAAAGCGCTGTGCAAACTATTGGCGCTATATAAATCCTGTATAATAATAATAGTAGTATCCTTTTTTATTTTGTAAAAATAATACAAGATGCTTTAAGATCATTCTAAAGAGTTTCTTTTAAGAAATATTAATATGCATCATTTACATTTGACTAGAAATTAAATATTTCCAAGAACTGTTTTATTTAGATCTGAACACAATGCATAAATAAAGATGCAAAAGACTATAGACATACACATGCAAAAAGACTATACATAATATCCTGTGAGCCACCAGGGCATTTAAATACGTTAATTGATTTCCCCTCTGTTTGCTTTTCCAAGCGTGCCCTTACCAGACACATTGTACCCGCTGTCAGCTTGACATATGAAGTCCCAGTTTGTGAGCAGGAACCAATTATAGCAGCCACTGCTTGACTGATTTACTATAGTAGTTTAAGTTTCTTCAGTGTTTCTTACTATCTTAACTAGGCCTAATTAACCCAAACCTCCCCATCATCAGATTGATCTGTTTTTATTATATTTCTTCTAACAGGGAGCCGCTACACAAGAGATATCCAGTAGCAGTTAAACAATTGATCTCTCACATTTGCTTAATGCTGCAATTTAATTATGTAGCTGAAACTATTGGCAATGAATCTCTTCTCTTTTCCATTGACGTCAGTGGGAGGAAAAGATTAATTGCCCTTTATTAATTAATCATTTAGGGGATTCTTTGTAATTTGAAATGGGTTAAGATTAAGTTTACACTTGAACAGGAATACAGGGGAAATCTTCCAATGGGGACACATTTTGTGTAAATTGTCTAAGCAAAGGTTCCCCTACTTTGGAGAGTTTTATTAACCTGATCCCCGCTCTCCCAACAGTCAGCGCTCACCTCCTATTCCTTATGCATCGGCTTGTAGACTGTCCCTCGGCGTCCTTCAGTATAATGCAGGGCTATGTGCCCTGCATTGTACTTGATGACTGCAGTGGGCCTCTGACGTGGGCCTCTGACTGCAGAGGGTAGGGGGAAAGAGGGATAAGTTATTCTATAAAATTTATATAGCAACAACAGTTTCCGCAGTGCTTTACACTATAAAGGAAGACAGTACAGTTGCAATCCAATCCAAGATAAGATGGTTACAAGGGCCTTGTCTGTGAGAACTTACAATTTAAAAGGTAAGTAAAAGTCCTTTTTCAATGAGCATTCAACCCTTCTAGTGCAGAAGCAGAAGAATTTTGTTTGAAAAAGACTGTTTTTGGAATAAATTCTAACAGTGAATGTGGTTTTCATTTTTAGCATGGAAGTTCGTTAAAAAATCTACCGTTGTCTACCGAGCTTAAGGCCCCTTTCAGGCGGGCGGTCTGATCAGGTCCACCTGTCAGTTTTTCAGGCCGATCTGATCGGAAGCCTAATGTTAATCTATGCACAACCGGATCTAAACGGATGAGCGTCCATTTACATCTGGTTACCTCCGATTCTGTCTAGGTCTGGGGAGAAAAAAAATGAAACTGAGTTCTCTTTTGGAGCACCTAATCCTGATGGATCAGAGGTAATCTGATGTTCACTTACATCTGACTCCCCATAGACCTAATATGAGTCAGGCAAGTTCTATTTTTTTCCTCCATTGGAAGATGGAGGAAACAACTGAACTGACATGGATGTCACAAATGGTGACATCCGTTCTGTACTGCTGCGATCAGCAGCAGATCTGTGCATGGATCCCCTGGGGATCAGAGCAGTACGAATCATATGTCACTGTTGTAACATCCGTGTCTGTCCAGTTTTTCTTCCATCCCAGCTGTACTTACTGGAGCCATGTTAGCTCTATAGGGCATCTGCTGTAAGTGGACATGTGCCTGTTTACATCAGATTACCCCGGATCCGTCACGATCAGTCCACTAGGATGGAACTGTGTCCTATTGGTTTTCTGAACCTAGACGGCGTCAGGGGTAAATGGATGCATGTTTACCCAGCTGCCCATAGACTAACATTGGGCTTCCAGTCAGATCTGCCTGAAAA